TCTGGGTCTCTGGATTAACAATCCAGTGATAATACCACTAGGCCACCACCTCCTCTTCATTAATAGAGTTGATGAATTTTATAGCATTGTGATACACCTCTCTGGGTGCCACATGTGTATGGTCATTGGCAGCCTGCATTGGAGGGAAGTGAGCTATCTTCTCGGATCCTACTGCCCGGGCTCTAGCACTGACCTTGGGGTAACGAAATGAACCAGTGTGATCTTGCAGAGATGGCAGCAGTCACTGTCCTGATGCGTTTGTGGGTACATGACTGAGATCCTGCACATGGCACTTGGAAGGAGACAGACGCATAGAAGCTCAAAGCAGTTGTCACCCCACAGCCAACAGGAGAGGGTGGCCTCCTACATCTGCCACCCTCAGGTCCTATTCAGCACCTGGCATAGTTCTAACAGTATCTTGGGGGCATGGGGAGACTGAACCTCACTCATCCCCAGGAAATGAAGTTAGGGCTGAAAGGCTGGGCCTTCTGGGGAGCCCATGCATACAAAGGAGACATGCAGATATAAGCTCTCCCTGAGCTGTGTGCTCCTTAGTCTCTATTATGGCCTGCTGCTTGTCACCAGCCTATTGCTACCTGCATTCATCTTTGCCTGCTGAGAAGTGTTACCACTGAGACCAGGAAACCTCCCCCCCACCCACCCCACCCCCACCAGTGGAAGGATGCAAGACTCCCAATGCAAAAGGCCTGCATTGGGAAGACAAGGAGCTAAGGAGGCTCTTAGGTCTCAGACAAACCATTGTTGGCATACCTGTAAAGTCAACCAAGAATTTGTATCAAAATCTCTAATGGAACTTCATACAATGTCTCTCAAACTTGGACATAAGAGCCACTCAACTGCAATGACTCTTGTTATCATGTCAGAGATTGTGCTGTTCATGCACCAGGAGCATGAACCACAGACACCAGGAGCATGAACCACAGTGCTCATTGTTCATCCTTCTGGATTTTGAGTTGGCCTGCTCTGGTGAAGAAAAAAAGATTAACTGAAAATAACACGTCAAACCAAATCAAATTGTTGCTATTGCACCTTCTGTGGTTAAAGAGAATAGAAGGTTAATAAAATTACCAATGTATTTGTGAGACAGACATCTGCTTATCACAATCCTGCACCCTACAAATTTTATACAAGGCAGTAATCAATTGTCTATTGTTCTATCTTGTCCAATGGGATTTCTTATCTACATTGATGCCTTGGTAACTAATAGAGATACAGTAAACATTTATATCTCTGCAATACACAGAGGCTGAGGCTTTCCTCATCTGACATCTGGGATTGAAGATATCCTCGTTTTGGAAAATGTTTGCAGATTCCTCCTGTTTGATTGGAATAGGGAACAAAGGAAACACAGACTATAAACACTGCTATGGTTATAAATGGACAACAAATGTATTGTACTACATGTGTAAAGAAAGCAAGAATTTGTCTAATTTTATATATTTGATCAAAGCAATCTCAGGGCTTCATAAAGTTTTACAGCCAATACAGTATTTTCTGGAGTAAAGTTTCTGTTTAATGTAGAAAACACAGCAGACATTTGCACAAAGCACAAGCAACAGGGATAACAACCAGATAATCTTTTAGCAACAAGAACAGAAATCATTGGAGAAACTCAACAGGCCTGGCAGCATCTATAGAGAGAAAACAGAGATAATGTTTCAAGCCAAGTGACCTTTCATTAGAATCATTCTAAGGGTCATTGGGCATGAAATGTTGACTCTCCTTTCTCTCCACAGATGCTGCCAGACCTGCTGAGTTTCCCCAGCAATTTCAGTTTTTGTTTTAGATTTCCAGTATCCATAGTTCTTTGGTTTGTTTTAACATTTTAGTAACAATGATTGAAAGATATATCTTGGTGAAGGACATTTGTTACGAATTCCCCTGTTCAGATATCATTAGTAAAAATAAAAGTAATTCAAAGCAAAATGCTGCAGATGTTGGAAATCAGAAATAAAAATGGAAAATGCTGAAGAATCTCAGTAGGTCTGGCACCATAGAATCCTTAAAGTGTGGAATCAGGCTATTTGGCCCATCAAGTCCACACCAGCCCTCTGAAGAGCATCCCACCCAGACCTACTCTCCTACACTATCCCTGTATTTACAATGGCTAACCCACCTAGCCTGCACACTCTGGTTAATTTAGCACAGCCAATCCACCTAACCTGCACGTCTTTGGACTATGGGAGGAAACTGGAGCACCCTGAGGAAACCTACGCAGACACAGGGAGAATGTGCAAACTCTGAGCCACCATACCACCAACCTGTGAACAGCGTAATTTAATGTTTTGAGTCCAAAGACACATCTTCAGAGCAGTTCAAACTCTCTCTGTCCACAGGTGCTGCCAGACTTGCTGAGTTTCTCTGGCATTTTCTCTGGCTGTTGGAAAAGTGACTGACATGTAGTTATACCTGATAAAAATTTTTTTTAAATTTCAGGTCTAGACTTGGGATCTCGTTCAAAGAACCAGTAAAGGCATAATGGGCTGAAAGACAGCCGAATGTGCCAAATGAGCCTATAGGTTCTTAATGTTAAATAACAGTTGAATTGAAATGCACTTTCTTCTTAACTCCCATAATATTAAATAATGCTGCAAGTTGGGGGTGGGTATTAAAGTAGAATCAGTTAGGCTTGAGCAAATGTCTTGGATAAATGATGTCTGACAAGCTGTTAAAAAGTGGGCAAAGCAGCTGTGCTGACCGAAATAGGCAGGGCAGGGGATGCATAGGGAAACCTCAGTATAGGTGGGGAGAAGAAATCCTTGTGGCATCAGGGAGAACAACAAAACCTCTATAGAAAACAAGAACAAAATAAGTATAGCTGGATTGTGTGTGGCCAGGATGTTATCCAGAACAGTTAAAAGAAAGCGTTTATGTTAAATTAGGACCTTGCTCTTCTTAAGAAGGGCAGGCTGGAGGAATACAACAATGCAACTTGCTGCAGTTCCTGCATTTTTAGGGGTGTGACTTTGAGCTTTGAAAATCAGCTGCTGTGTTTTTATACCAGTGGTATCTCTCAGGGTTGACTGAATGTCCTGTAAAACCCCTTGGGGCATTAAGCTGTTAAAGACAACTCGTGCTCTCATAACCCATGGAGATAAAAACGGACTTTTGACTGCTTTAGTTCGTCAAGGAAATTATTTATTGAGTTTGCAAATAGTATTGTATTTTTCTGCTATGGCTCCTGCTTGTAGCTATCCCTGTCAGGATATCTGTGCTATGCCTCGCTTATCTATCTTGGCCCACCCACTGTATTTGGTCTGTAACCACCCTCATATCTGTCATTGAACTACACCTTGGTCAGCCCTCTTTCTGCTGTTTTCGTCCTTTGCTTTTTGCAGAGATCTCTGCAGCTTACTCTAATGAAATGCCTCAAATGTTAACATTTCTTTTTCAGGATGCAACTTATTAAGAAAGGCTTTTCCTTTGAATTGGCATTCTTGTGAAATGTCCTGATGAGCACAAGACAAAAAGCTTTGACAAAATGTATCTTCTTACAGCAATATTCACGCTATATTTGCTCTTGCATTTGTCTTAGAATTATTCAAACACGTTCAAAAATACACATCCTACATGCCAAACAAGGAATTTGTTCAGGGATAAGGAAATCAAGTGAGGATAAAAGCAACAGGCGTCTCGGTAATAACATTATTTTCATTGAATTTTCACCATGGAGAAACTGTTATCTGCTGTGAACTTCCCTGTGTAGTGTCATCACAGCACTCACTTAGAGAGACTAGGACGCATCCCAACTTCAATCCAATCCTTGAAAGGCTTCAGAAAAGATTTGCAAGGATGTTACTGGGATTGGAAACTTTGAACTATTGGGAGAGGCTGAATAGGGCTTTTTTTTCCCTGGAGTGTCAGAGGCTGAGGGGTAACCTTATAGAGGTTTATAAAATCATGAGTGGCTTGGATAGGGTGAATAGCCAAGGTCTTTTTGCCAGGGTAAAGGAGTCCAAATCTAGAGGGCAGAGGTTTAAGGTGAGGGGGAAAGATTTAAAAGGGACCCGAGGAGTAACTTTTTCCAAGCAATGTTGGTGCATGTATGGAACAAGAGGAAGTGGTGGACACTGGTACAATTATAACACTTAAAAGCCACCTGGATGGGTATGTGAACAGAAAGGGTTTAGAGGGATATAGGCCAAATAATGGCATTTGAGACTAGATCAGTTTAGGATATCTGGTTGGCATGGATGAGTTGGACCAAAAGGTCTGTTTCCATGCTGTGTAACTCTATGACTCTATGGCTATGACAATACTGTAGATCTGTTAAAACGCATGCAAACAATGGAGGCAGTAGAAGATTCAACATATTATGTTTTCCTGTCACAGATTTAATGCGTAGGAAGAATATCACTGTCCCCCATTTGATTATTCTCTATTGATCCAGTTTAGGATCTATTGCCATGGAAACTGCCCTTGCGATTTAGGTCATTTTACTCTCAAAGAACAGTCCAGCTTATTTACTGTTCATTGTGGTCTGTCCACATCTTGACAAATGCACTGACACCACAGCGATCAACAACCAGCACTAATTGACCATTTAACAAATAAGGAACTGATCTCAAGCAAACTCTAACAGAATGAAAAGATGCAACTTGGCCCAACAGAAATAAAATACTGAGCGTTCTGAGGAAGAGTCGCCAGAACTAAAACGTTCTCCTTACAGATGCTGCCAAACCTGCTGAGCTTTTCCAGCAATTTCTGTTTTTGCAACAAGTTTATACCACAATCGAGGTAACAGCATTGAAGCTCTGGAGCCAATCAGGGCCCAGCTTATGAGGGAGGTGTGATTGTTTCCTGGAATGCTGGGTCAGAGATCCATCACTGCATTCTAAAGTCTCCAGGTGCATCTTTTTAATTTAAAGGTAACCTCAAATAGAATGCAGTGATGCAAAAAGGATAATTGCGCTAATGGAGAGTGTCACATAAGGGGTATTGGAGATCCACGCAAAGCAATTTTCAGCCAAGTAGAAAGAATGAGCAAAAAGGCACCCAAGTATTTCCCATCGCTTTACGACACCAATAGCAGCGCCTCGTCTCTGAACAGCTTTAACATCTGGAAGAATCTGTTCCCCACACAGGAAATCAAGGAAACCAAAAGCCCAAAGGCTTCCCTGTGGCCACGGGGACTGGCAGACAATCCTTACGAACCCTTGAAATTCTTCTCCCCGCCAGCGGGTGGGGACTCGGCCTGGAGTGAGCTCGATGAGATATGTGAGCTGGATATCCGATTGAAGGAAATGGAACTCCTCACATTAACTGGGGATGGCTTTGATTTGAGAAGATGTGAGTTCTGCCATTAACTTTTACTTTTTTTGAAACTGTTGCCTTTCCCAGTTTATTACGTTCACATCTTCTTCCAATGTTCATTGTACTTGTGAGAATCAAGACACTTTCAAAACTGAAGGTCTTGAGATCTGATTGCAAATTACATCAGGGCAATAATTACATCATTGGGGATCACCTCCAAACATGATTTTGATGTGATTTATTATTTCCACATGTACCAAGGTACAAGGGAAAGTGTTGTCTTACGTACTTTACAGGTAGATTGTACTGTACAAATGCATCAGGGTAACAGAACAGAGCACAGGATACAAGGTTACAGCTGACAATAATGAAAAATCTGGTAATTTAATTAATTACTCTTTTTAGGAGCTTACTGTATGCAAAATACTGCTACTTTTCTCAACAATATGACAATAAGCATAATTCAAAAGTTACTCATTGTCTGTGAAGTGCTTCGTAACATTGAAGGTCTTAAAGAACATATCAAAATGCAAGCCCTCTCTTTAAAGTTGATATTTCTTGTACAATTTCTGTTCATCATTTCTCTCCAGAGGTGATATCTCCTCACTGAAGCTGTAGGTGTCCTGTGACATCTTAACAGAGAGTCTGCATATGCGAGCCTCAACAATGAATCTTAACAGACGAGTCAGCAAGAAGTGAAGCACTTCTTTTTGCAGGGATATGGGACCGGAATCCTTTAGAGATGGATTTCAGTCATTCCTTTCTCCAACAGTTCTGGAACACGAAATGCCAATTTCAATTAAATACTTTAAATCAGGCACAACTTTTCTTTCAACTCAAATTCAGTGCATTCGTGTGGGCTGTTTGACCAAGAAACAAAATGTATCTGTAGACCTTTAAATGATAATCGTTTGTTCAATAAGGTTATTTGTAATTAAATCCTTAAAACGTCCCTAGGAGTGTCTCCTCGTCGGTTAGGAGCAAGATTTTCTGCTTGGGTTATAATCTTGGATATAAACATTTTTTTCTCAATGTCAAAAATCTTATTTTTCCAATTTTGCCATATTTTCCCAACTGACCGATCATTGCCCACGTCATTAAGGTGCTGGGAAAATTCTGTAACATTATTTTTGTTCTCTGTTCAAATGGCGGTCTGACCCACAGTCTCCACCACAGGTAGAGCAAAGAGGTAGTTCCTGAATGCATGCCAGCCAGAACTGGGATCAAATCCTGTGCTGTTAACACTATTCTGATTCAAACCTTCCATCTGGACAATTGAGACAACCAGCTCCCGAAGAAGTCTGTGTTGCTGTAGCAACATTCAATTTTATACTTAAGTTGTAAGCTGAAGCTACAAGCAGTGACAGTAATAGTTTTATTTCTTTTTCCTTCCATGACTTACCAGAATCTCTCCCAGTCTTATTGACTGTCACCAGCACAGTGTTGGAAGGATTTACATGACGAGACTGAACTTCTCTGAGTCTGTTACAAACACACTTTCCTGGACATTAGGTCCTGAAGATAAACTTGGACCCAGAGCTTCTGAATTAGAGGCAGGGTCTCTATAAGACTTCTATTTTTTTAAACCCCCATAAGATTGAGCTTATCCAAATCTCTGCTGCCTGGTTCCTAAATTGTAGAAAATTTCATTTGTTCTTTGGCTCTGAATTTGGTAGTCGACAATGAGCCTTAGTCCAGCAACACCTCAATTTAAGAATTAACATCCTTGGGCCTGGATTTAGTCTGACTGATCATCTTGCCCACTTTCTGAGATCCAACAGTGAATTCCTATCAGTTCCACTTGGGGAAAGTTTGACAATGTTACTTGTACCTATTGGAAGTCCTGCCTGTCAAGAACTTCTAGCCAATCAGAAGCTGGCAGCTCACCATTGCTCACTAACTGGAGCAGAGCTGATTGGCCAGCAGTTGCTGACAGGCAGGACTGCTATCAATGTGCTCAACAGAGGCCCAGGACTGCTGGAGGGGAGAGGCCGGGTCAGCTGTCAGCAATAGTGGGAATGGGATCACAGGAAGGGAGGTTTCTGGGGGTGGCTTAAAGCAGCTGGGTCACTCAATCACGCATAGAGTGACTTCTTCCTGGGCAGTCATTTTACCAGATAGTCTTTGGGAAGCATGGGAAAGCTTTGCTGCTCCCTATAATCCTTAAACCACAATTGAATTGCAGTTGGCTCACCTGAGAAGGCCAGGAATTCCATGTCAGCTCATTCCACTGTCCAAATTAATTGGGAAGTCTTTCTGCTGCGGAGAGAGCAGTGCAAGGTCTCTTTGAAGGTTCAATGGGCCAGGCAGCCATGTTTTCCACAAAAAAAAGTTGCATTTAATCTAAGCCCAGTTCCTGGCCTCATCTCTCCCTTTCTCCATAACCTCCTACAAAGCTAATGCCAAAATGCTAAACAGAAGTCCCTGGCTTGTATTCTCAACAGAACCAGTTTAAGTGGAAAACAGCCAGGAGAAAAGCAATCCAAGATAAAGAAAGAAAGGTTTGTATTTATACAGCTTCCTTCATGACTGCAAGAGGTACCAAGGAAAATTTCTGATGCTCAGGAATGAAACATTCACCTTGGAAGGAGTGCAGTATAAAGTGAAACATGGACTCCAATGATTAAGTTACAAATAGGGATTGAACAAACCAAGGTCATATTCCCCAGGATTTGCATGGGATTACAGAGCACAGATAGCACTGGCAAAGAAAGGACTGTAGGAAAAAGGATAATCAGCTATGGATAACAAAGAAAATAAAGGAGGGTATCAAACTGAAAGCTAATGCATACAAAATGGCAAAGACTGTGGGAAATTATGGGATTGGAAAATCTTTAAAGGTCAATAGAAAACTATGAAAAATGCTCTAAAGAAAGGTAAGATAAATTATGAGAGTAAACTAGCTCAAAATGTAAGTTTCTATAAATGTATAAAACACTAAATATTGGTCTTTAGAGGATGAGAAGGGCGTTTTAAGAATGGGAAATGAGGAAATGGCTGAGGCATTGAACAGATATTTTGTGTTAGTCTTCACAATGGAAGGCACAAATAACACGTCAGGAACCGATGACAAGGAGCTACAGCAGATGAGGACTCAGAAACAAACATTATCACGAAAAAAGTAGTGTTGGGCAAGCTGAAGGGGTTAAAGGTAGACAAGTCTCCTGGGCCTGATGGAATGAATTCCAGGGTGCCAAAAGAGATGGCAGGAGAAATAGCAAATATACTCCTGGTAATTTACCAAAATTCACTGGACTCTGGGGCGGTTCCAGCAGATTGGAAAACAGCAAATGTGGAACCACTGTTTGAAAAAGGAGGCAGATAAAAGACAGGTAACAATAGGCCCATTAGTTTAATTTCTACAGTGGGGACAATGTTTGAATCTATAATCAAGGAAGGAAAAAGCGAGACATCTGGATAGAAATTGTCCCATTGGGCAGACACAGCATGAGTTCATAAAAGGCAGGTCATGTTTAACTAATTTACTAGAATTCTTTACTAGAATTTCCTAGAATTCTTACGAGCGCAGTGGACAGTGGGGACCAGGTGGATGTGGTATATCTGGATTTCCAGAAGGCATTCAACAAGGTGCCACACAAAAGGCTGTTTCATGAGATAAAGGTGCACGGCATCATGGGCATGTATTAGCATGGATAGAAGATTGGTTAACTAACCGAAAGCAAAGAGTAGGGATAAATGGGTGTTTTTCTGGTTGGCGGTCAGTGGCTAGTGGTGTGCCTCAGGGATCAGTGTTGGCACTGCAATTGTCTACAATTTATGTAGCTGATTTAGAGTTGGGGATTTGTGTAGTGTATCGAAGTTTGTAGATGACGCTAAGAGGAGTGGTAGAGCAAAGTGTGTAGAGGACACTGAAAGTTTGCGGAGGGATATAGATAGGTTAAGTGTGTGGGCGAAGGTCTGGCTGATGGAGTACAATGTTGGTAAATGTGAAGTCATCCATTTTGGTAGGAATAACAGTAAAATGGACTATTATTTAAATGGTAAAAATTGCAGCATGCTACTGTGCAGAGGGACCTGGGTGTCCTTGTGCATGAATCACAAAAAGTTGGTGTGCAATGCAACAGGTAATTAACAAAGCAAATAGGATATTGTCCTTCATTGCTAGAGTTTAAGAACAGGGAGGTTATGCTGCAGATATATAGGGTGCTGGTGAGGCCACATCTGGAGTGCTGTGTACAGTTCGGTCTCCTTAATTGAGAAAGGATGCTCTGGTACTGAAGGTTTATCGGTTGATTCCAGAGTTGAAAGGTTCGGTATATGAGGAAATATTGAGTAGACTCGTTGGAATTTAGAAGAATGAAGGGGAAGCTTATAGAAACATGTGAAATTATGAAGGGATTAGATAAACTAGGAGCAGGAAGGTTGTTTCCACTGGTGGGTGAATCTAGAACTAGGGGCCATTGCTTCAAAATACAGGGGAACAGATGTAGGACTGAGTTGAGGAGGAACTTCTTCACCCAAAGGGTTGTGAATCTGTGGAATTGCCTGCCCATTGAAGCAGTTGAGGCTACCTCCTTGAATGTTTTTAAGGCAAAGATAGGGAGATTTTTGAATAGTAAAGGAATTAAGGGTGATGGTGAACAGGCAGGTAGTGTAGCTGAGTCCACAAAAAGATCAGCCATGATCTTATTGAATGGTGGAGCAGGCTCGATGGGCCAGATGGCCTACTCCTGCTCCTATTTCTTATGTTCTTATCTTCACAGAAACGGTTTATTCAGTAAAAGTAGCACATACAGCTTTTTATGCTCCATTCATCGTTTCTTATCTAAATTGACCATTGTGACCATGTATTCCATTCACTCCGAAATAGTTGGCTAACCTCCTTTTTAGACAACTAACTGGTGGTTTGATCAAAGTATTCAAAATATTGAGGGGAACAGATGCAGAGAATTTTTTTTTCAGTACCTGCAATAATCTAAACGTTAGTGCCAGATCTTTCAAGAGTCCAATTAGGAAACAATTCTTTTTGTGAAGGATGGTAGGAACTCGGAATAATCTTCTGCAAAGAGCAGTTGATTTCAGATTAATAGTTAAACTTAAAACTGGGATTGAAAGTTTTTGGTCTCCCATGGTAATGGGGGATATGTGTAAAGGATTAGATTTAGGTTTAGATCACAAAGATGTAGGTCATAAATCAACAATGCTCTTATTGAATGCCAGAACAACCCGAGGATTAAATAGTTTCCTCCTGCTCCCATGTTTGTTTGCATGCAGTAGTTTTTATAGTATACTGTCTGTTGTAATATAGTAAATGTAGCAACCAATTTGCATAATGTGTGTTCCCACAGACAGCAATGTGATCATAACCAGATAATGACCAGGCTTTGTGACGGTAGTGGCTAGGCCAACAGGAAGAAGTCTCCCGCTCGTCTTCAAAATAGAGGCAAAGGACCTTCAGACAGATTCTTGGTTTAATATCTAATCTAGAAGAATGTCAGCTTAGCATTTGAAATCTGGGCTGAAATACTGAACATTTAAAGAAGTTTGACCTCAATCATGAGATCCTTTTAACAACTGAGATACAATCACTTTGATCAAATTGCTCCTGCCCCTTGATATCAACGTGGCGATTTAGTTCTGTGCAGCCAGAGGAGCATGTGTCAGGCAAATAGTGTCAGGACCATTTCAAATTGGCTGCTGTTTAAATACAAATCATCTTGACTGAAATTTCAGTTTAAATCCAACATCCTATATTTACCGAGGAACAAAGGAACAGGAGTAGGCCATTCAGCCTTTCAAGCCTGCTCCACTTGGAAGGAAATAAAATAGATCGTTGCTAATTTATCTCAACAACAAATCTAAATAAGTTGGACTAATTTCAGACAACCTCACAGGCTCTGGATAGCAATAACTCTTTTGCGAATAAAGATATTTTGAATAGTAGTCACTAGTGTAATGCAAAAAAAAAGACAAATGAGGACAATCAGATGAACTGTTTTTGTTAGCTGGGATTCTAACCAATTTTGCCTTTTATCAAAACGAATGCATACGATATGGGTGTAGTTATATTTATTTCCCATCCCTCACTGTCCTAGGGAAAATGGTGGTGAGCCATCTTCTTGAACTGCTACAGTACTTGGGATATAAGGATACCCCTGGACGGTCAGAGAACAGTTAAGAGTCAACCAAATTTCTGAGAATCTGCAGCCACATGTAGGCCAAGCCAAATAAGATTGGCAGATTTCTTTCCCTAAAGGACTTTGGTGAACAGGTGAAGCTTTACAATAATTAACAGTCATTAGATGGTCACCTTTTGATTAACATTCCATTCCAAACTTTTATTGAAATCATTTTTCTCTACCTGGTGGAATTCAAACCCATGTTTGTAGAGTATTAGCCAAGGATTCTGGATTACTAGTTCAGTGACATTACCATTCTGTCACTAAGCTATCCTTTAGATAGTTATGTGGATTTTTTTTTTACATTGATGGCATTAAAGCAGTGCATTGCAAGATAACTAACCTGTAGCTCATATATGTTACGTAGAATCCGAAGCACTGAAATAGGCCGTTTGGTTTCACTGGTCCATGCCAGAGTTGTTGTTTCAGATGAGCCAATATATCTTTATCTGACCTTATAAACACATTCTTCAATTCCTTTCTCTCTCATGTGCTTATCTAACTTTTCCTGTATTACATCTAGACAATTCACCAAGATTACATGATAACACGTTCCACTTACTCACTATTCAAATCTACCATTATTTTGATATTACTCTTTCTTCAATGTGTGACTATAAAATATTAAAAAGGTTTTATTTTGACTAAGACTAATACTATTATGGAAAACTAATCAGTCTACTTCTCTACAGATAAATTTCTGAAAATGTTAAAGGATGAAAAGATGCAAGACATCAAGGCAGCTAAGGAGAAGAAGAAACAGATGATAAGGGAGAAGGCAAAGAAATGGTAGCTGTCCAATTATTCTATAACAAAGAAATTTCAACAACCTGTGGGAGCAACCACCAATGTACAATTGAAGATTAATATCAGAACAGACACAAAGCATTAACTCAGGTTGAATTATTCACCGCGTTTTTTTTATTTGTACCTACGTATCTCATTTCAGTTTGTACCGTCAATTTCTCTTAAAAATATCAAGTTTTAATATTCTGTCCAATAAGTCTGTTTTGCCATGGGGTGAGGTAATTTGCACATAATTTAAGCAGTGTTTGTTTTTAACGAGAAGGATATCGCAACTTGGTTGTACCACTGCAGGTGTCTAACCCTCTTTTTCTAACAGCTCCGACAGGAAGTGATAGAGCAAGGGGATTTGCTGCAGTCAGTGTACGTTATGGTTAAATACTGGATAATCTGGCCTAGTCATCTTGTTTAGTGACATCCAATCCAGGTAGGGTTGCTGTGTCTGATTGGATGTGCTCCCGGAAGTATAATCAAGTGACTTTCTGCCTTTGAACTACCTTCCCCCATTTCCCTTTTTTTAAAATCTAAGGAATAAAGGAAAATGTGTCAAATAAAAGAAAAAGAAAAACACAACTGTTTTTCTATTTTTTCTCTTGGGTTTTTACCTGCACCAGTAGCTAGGAGATTAATCTTTAATTCCTCTAGATTGCAAGATAATCATGCTGGGTTGGCAACCCTAAGTTTAAGTCACATTACCATGTGAAACATTTTGGAAATAGAGCCAAACCATAAAAAGTCACCCAACTTCAGCAACTCCACATCTTCCCCGTTATGTGTTTTAACTATTTGTCTTTCTTTACCCCACTTGATTGTAGTTAAATTGGAAACCCACAAACAGGAAAAATTGTTAGAAAAATGACAGTGTAATATTTAAGAATGATTATTTTTGACACAAGCAATTATCAGTTGATATCTAATAGTTCTCCGTGGACTGATGTTACAATGAGCTGTTCATCCTCTTTACTGCATCATATTTTCAACTTGTTTCTTGTTTATCTCAACTGTAAAAGGGCTTTAGATCACATACTGCTCAGTAATACATATTCAATTTTTGTTATTCAACTTCTGCAATTCAAGGGAATTGCCTTTACAAATCGGGTCATATTATTACTTTGGAAACACTGGTGCTGTCTATTTACCAATATAAAAAAAGGGGGGATGGGAGAATAAAAAGATAAATCTCCACAGCCTTTACTGAATGTTCCCGCTGGAGGACCCATTCATCTCCATCTGGAGAAACTTTAATAGTTGAGGCATGCCTGAGGGCACAGGAATTCACGGTTGTTTTGCCCCAAAAGCTACTTCATACATTTTAGTGATGCAAATGTCTGTAAAGTCAAAGTGCTTCAAATCAATCACCTCAAAAAATCTGAGACACAGCACAGCAGATGTTCGATGGGGCAGATTTTAGTTGTGGAGTCATTTTTATGGTCATTTCCAAAAAAATGTGCCGACCCCGCCAGTTTGCAAAGTGAGCTATGCTCACTCAGTCAATGAAAAACATTTGATTCCAATGGCAATACTTGTCTTGAGGATGCTGCAGGTACAGTCAATGCATGTCCACGCATTTTAATGGGAGAGAGAGGATATTTCCCAAAAGATACCTTGGACAGTTACTCAACTGATGCTATTAACAATATCGGCCAACTTACTTCAAAAGCTACTTTTTTTTTGTGAGGTTCTTGACAAAGTGTGACATTCTTGGGTCTTAGAAACAGCTACGGATAAACCAGAATACAACAGAAATTGCCTTCAATACAGTCGCTACTATGATTTCTCCTGGTAGCTACAAGTGAACACTATATACAAATTGCTTTTGAAAATAGGACAATATGACATTTATCAAAAATTAATTAATAGAGGCTGTAATGCATTTACAGAGGGTGTGTCATGGAATGTAACAAGAATAATAAATTATATAAGTCTATTATTGACTGTCTATCACTTCATGTTACTTTTGAGGACAAGAGTCTACATAATGGTAAAAAGGCTGGGTTTGAGTTAGAATTACGTTTAAATCTTTTTATTATTAATTATAATTTGAACAGAATGTATAAAGGAATGTGGCAACCTTGCTTAAGGCATGAACTATTCTGGCATTAAGTTTATGGAGAAAAATTATCATCAATTGATGTTAATACTGTTCTAAAGTTATAAAAATGTTTAGCAGTGAGGTTATTTATTTGCTTAAGATTGGAATATACTGCAAAGAAATTAATTTGTAAGCATTTATGTAGAAGAAAGTTAATGGAGTGTTGAGCATTGAAATTGTATATCATTGGGGCAGTGTAAAAATTAATAATGTACAATATCAATGGTTTTACAATTTGGAAATCTATGTGTTTAATTTATGAACAGCTAAGGATAAAATATTGTAAACAATGTAAAATATATACACTAATAAATAAAAATCAATTTTAAAATGGAGGTGTGAAATTGTCTCATTTTGCCAGGGCAACATTAGAAAACCTGTATCATCTTTACGCACTTCAAGTATTAGACAGATATGAGTTTCTGTGTATTTCCCATATCCTTACTCTCCATTGTTATGCTTTTATGCCATTTGTCTCCCATAATAGTTTCCTATTTCCACACTTACAGTGGAGACTGCTGATATAAACATGTCGTGCCTTATTTGCACCTTCCCATTAGTAGTGGTGCTGTAACATCTTAATTTAACTGTCTTATGGAGAAACGTTTGGTTGCATGCAATTCCATTCCCACACATTCTAAAATGACATAAGGATTTTTTAAAAAGATCCAAATTCTAAATATTATGAGTGAAATCTGCCTTGCTCCTGAGCAACACAGGCCCTGGCAAAAAAGAGTTGGAGAAATTAAAGTGCTTTGTCCAGTGAGGACCTTCTTAATGTCAAGCCAAAAGTTTCCATTTTCCAACAAAGTGATAGATGTTAAGATGGGCTTCTCACTAGTAAGTGATGAGGGGCCTATTTGCATGTACTATTGACCATCATCACCCGCATAACTACCTAATCTTGCCTCATTAACATACACTCAAATTCTCCCATTGCTAGATAGAAACTAGATGCTCAGGATTCCTGACAGGAAAATCAAAACCGCTCGCACTTCTAGACATCCATCTGGGACACCTGGTACCAAAATCTCTTGCACCCACTTCACGAATTGGACCAGGCTGCATCTCAGGGCCCTTTGCTCACTCTCTTAACACTCACCCATTCTGTGCCCGCTTCAGTGCTGACAGAATCCCTGCTTTGTCTTGCCATTTTGCTCTTTGCCCCCTCAGCCAGAGCGTCCACCTTGCCTTACTCTTTAGTACAAAGTCGGATGTATTGTCATGGTTACCAGCAGTAATCAGTCAAGGCGGGGGGCGGGGAGAGGGTGGGGGGTGTGGGTGTGGAATGGATGGATATGTCAGTGTGTGGCACCATGTCACATCAATCTCACACTTGCACCATGTGCCAGCAATCTACATGGCGAAGGTGCTGCACATGCTGCAAAGAAATGGCCATGTCTCAAAGTATAGGGAGAATAGTCCTCAGTCAAGTCAAGGGCAGTCTCTGGCTTTGGTCCATAGTCAATCAATGGCTTAGGGTGGTCAGAGTGAAAGGCCCCATTCCTTCTCAGTCCAGAGTGGGCCATAGTCAACTCTGTGGAGCCAGTGTGACCAGCCTGGGAAATCATGGTTGGGGAGCTGTGCAGGTATTAGTCAGGGGTCAGGTCACTCATCGTTTGGGACTGTTTGGCTAATTCATTCAAAAGTGTGGACTACACTCAGTCCCCAGGTACCATCCACTAAACATTAGTGGGGCTTATAGTGCCTACAGCTGTGGAAGGGAAGATGGGGAACTCCATTGTGGCACCTGTATTCAGTGTACTAGGATGCAGAAGGGATTACAATTGTGAAGGGGGTCAACTCAATGAATGACAGGTTAGATATTACAGCATTAAACAGAAACACGTAATATAGGAGAGGAAGCCATTAATAGCATCAGCACTTGATTCCATTGGGGTATTTTTGACATGTTTACTCAATACGCCCAAGACTAGGACTAAAGTGGGGAAATGACAACATGGATAGACGAGTTGGGTGGGGACTTAGGCTTTGAACTTCGCTATGGGGTGAACAGGGAGGGCTACCAAGAAGAGAATGTGTACATCAGTAGTTCAGGCTGACCCTGAGACTCACTGGTTCAGCTGTTTCATCCCACTGTGCTGTAAATAAGAAGTACATAATGAAGATAAAAATGGTTTCTACCACCTGGTGATTGCGTAAGTTAGGTGTTTCATTTTGTGTGGAAGGGGGCTTCAATTTTGAGTAATATGAGATCATTCAAAGAGCAAAAGCATCATACAGACACCCATACACTAAAGCTGAAAGACACCTGTGAGCACTGCGTGCTATGTTAACCTGTTGTGTATTGTCTAGACCATATCGAAAAGCATCAGGAATCAATACTAATAATAGCTGTCATGCACTAGCAAAGTAGTGTAGCTTGGAAAGTTTGATCTTAGCTGCGAATGTAGCAATAACCTTCCACTTTCCTACAGCCTGCATATGGTGCAGGAGCCTTGTGTAGTAGATTATTTTACAAAATAATCTCAGGAATCTTGAAGTACAGGTCAATGATTGTTTATTGAGTCAACATTAGGACAGTATACCACAGAAAAGATTCCAAGGCAGCTCTTTGACTTAACAAGGATTCGTCAGATATTTATACTTTGGAAGTCACAAAAAGAGTCCATTATCCAAATTCTGAAATGGTCTGTTTTAGTCAAACGCCTTGTGATTCACATATTCCGAAAGTGATAAGGCTCCTGATCTTACCACTCTCTAGCTTCCCTCTGAAGCTTGTGCTTTGTTCCCATCTTTGACTAAACCCCATTGCTTTGTCTTTCTTGGTGTGGTGTGGGGCCATCCTCACCTTTTCAAATAAGGTCTCAGGGTGAATGCTGGATCAGCTACTGAAGCATGCTGATGCAGTTTAACTAATTTTTCTTTTAACCCGA